GAAAAGGGGGGGAAAGGGGAGAAAATTGGGGGAGAAAAGGATGAAATTGGGGAAAAGGGGAATAAGGGGGGGAAAGGGGAAAGAAAAGGGGGGGAAAGGGGGAAGGGGGAGAAGGAAATGAGAGGAAAATGGAAGGAAAATAAAAGGGAACAGAAAAGGGGGGAAAAAAGGAGAAAAAAGGGAAAATAAGGTGGGATAAAAGGTGGGGAAAAGCAAAAAAAAAAAAGGAGGAAAAATAAGGGGGGGAAAGGCCAAAATAAAAGGAATTAAAAGAGGAAATGTGGGGTGAGCCCCCTCCCCTCTCCAGGTGGGACCCCCCCAACAATGACAACAACAAAAAAACGGAATTTTGGGGTTTTTTTTTGGGGGGGTTGGGTTTTTTGGGGGGGATTTTGGGGTTTTTGGGGTTGTTTTTGGGGTTTTTGGGGGGTCCCGGGCTGGGTTTTACCTGCCGAGGTTACCCGGGGTCACCTCGGGGAGGGAAAAGGGGGGATTTGGGATCTGGGCTCTGCATGAGCCCCCTCCCCTTTTGGGGCTTTCTTTGGGTTTTAGGGGTTTTATTTTGTATTTTTTATTTGTTTTGGGGGGGTCGTAAATTGGTAAATCCCCCCCCCCCACCCTGGAAAAAAGGTGAAATTCGGGGAGAGGATTTGGGGGGAAAAAAGGGAAAAAGGGGAGGAAAAGAGAGGGGGAAAAGGGGGAAAATAAAAAGAGGAGAAAAGGAGGGAAAAGAAGAGGGGAGGAATAAAAAGAGGAGAGAAAAAATGAGGGGAAAAGAGTAAAAAAAAGAGGAGGAATAAAAGGAGGGGGAAAAGGGAGGAGGAATTAAAGAGGGGAAAAAAAGAAGACATAAAAGGAGGGAAAAGAAGAAGGGGAGAAAAAAGAAGGGAAAAAAGAGAAGAGAGAAAAGGGAAGAAAAGAAAGGGAAAAAAGAGGAGAAAAAGGAGAAAAAAGAGAGAAAAAAGGAGAAATCAGAAGGGAAAAAGGAGAAAAAAGAGGGGAAAAAGGAGAAAAAAGAGGGGAAAAAGGAGAAAAAAGAGGGGAAAAAGGAGAAAAAAGAAGGGGAGAAAAGAAGGGAAAAATAAGAAGAGGGAGAAAAGAAGGGGAAGAAAAAGAAGAGAAAAAAGGGAATAAAAAGAAGGGGGGGAAAGAAGGAAGGGAAATAAAAGAGAGGGGGAAAAAAAAAAGAAGAGAGAAAAAAAAAATAAAGAAGAGCGAGAAAGAAAGGAGAGGAAAAAAAAAAGAAGAGGGGAAAAAAGGAGAGAGGAAAAAAAAGGAGGAAAAAAAAAAAGGAAAGGAAAAAAAAAGAGGAGAAAAAAAAAGGAAAGGAAAAAAAAGGAGAGAAAAAAAAAGGAAAGGAAAAAAAAAGGAGAGAAAAAAAAAGGAGAGAAAAAAAAAAAAAGGAGAGAAAAAAAAAAACCCCGAGCAGCCACACCGGCGGGATTTTGAGGAATTTGCCTGCGGTGTTAAAGGGAAGGAGCGGAGTTCCAGGAGAAATCGAGAGAGGGAGAGAGAGGGAGGGAGGGAGAGCTCGAGCTCCGCAGAGGAGTCAAGAGCAGCGAGAGAGGAGCGCGGTTAAACACAAAAAAACCCCAACAACAACAACAGCGGCGGCGGCGGGAGCCCAACTGCAACAAGCACCAAAAATCGCTTTTTTTTAACAAAAAAAAAAACCCAAAAAAAAAAAAAAGGGGAAAAAAGGAAAAAAAAATCCACTCTTAATAACAACAACAACAACAACAAAAAAAAAGAGCGCAGGACTTCAGCGGTCAGAGGGACAAACCTCGCTTTGCTCGGGTTGTTTTTTATTTCTTCTTGGTTTTTTTATATTTTTGGGGGAATTTGAAGCTTTCTCTTTTTTCAAACAGCGTTTCAGAGTTAAAGCGGCGCTTATTTTTTTGATTTTCCTCCAGGATTAAACCTTTTTTTGGAGAATTAAAGCCTTTTTTTTTTTAATTATTATTATTATTATTTTTTTTTTAATCTCACCGTGCTTTCCTCAGCATCAAACCGGATCTTTTTTTTTTTTTTTTTTTAATTGTTGTTGTTGGTTTTTTTTTTGGGAATCAGAGCGGTGTTTCCTTCACAACTAAAACCTTTTATTTTTTATTTCGGTGCTGGGATTAAAGCGGGGCTGCTTTAAAACCAAACCGGGATTTTTTTTGCGGAGTTAAACCGGATTTGGATTTTTTTTCTTTTTTTTTTTGCCACACTTCTCCCGCATTTTTTCAAGAGTTAACCCCGATTTCCCCTCCCCGCCTTCCTCACCGGTGAATTTCTTCTTTTTTTTGGGGGGAATCCGCCTCATTTTTCCTCAGAACCAAACCTGAATTTTTTCTCAATTAAATCTCTTTTCCCCTCGCCACTTTTAACCCTTTCCCCGCCGCCGCTTTTTTTTTTTTAAATATATTTTTTTTTCCACCTTTTTTAAAATTTTTTCTTTCAATACAAATTTTCCCACCGCGCTTCTTTATTTTATCTTTTTTTTTGGGGGGGAGGGTTTGGTTATTTTTTTTAATCTCTACATTTTCCCTCCGCGCTTTTTTAATTATTTCTTTTAATACTTTATTTCTTTTTTTCCTCGTTTATTTCTTTTTTCGGGGGGGGGGGGGGGGGGAATATTTTTAATTTTAAATCCACACATTCCCCCCCACCGCGCGCTTTTTAATTTTTATTTGGTTTTTTTTTTTCCTTCACATTTTCATTTCCCACCTCCCTTTTTCCTTTTTTATTTTTTTTTTTTTTTTTTTTTTTTTTGGCTGTGGGGGTGGGGTGGAGAAGGTTTTTTTTTTTTTTAAACACACCCCCACCCCCACCGCGCGCTTTTTTTTCCCGTCTGCCGCTTTAACACCTCATTTTTCCACCGCGCTTTTTCTTTTATTGGGTGGGAATTGAGGAAAAATAAAATTTATCTGCGTTCCCCACCGCGCGCTTTTATCTATATTTTTTTTGTTGTTTGTGTTTTTTTTTTTTTAATACCGATTTTTTTTCCCACCTTCTCCTATTTTAAATACATTTTTTGTTGTTGTTGTTTATTTTTTTAACACCGATTTTTCCTTGGCGGGAATTTTTTTTTTTTTATTTAAAGAAACTCACTTTTTTCTCCCCCCACCGCTCGATTTTTTCCCCCTGTTTGTTTCTTTTTTAACACCGATTTTTCCACCGCTCTTTCCTTGCTGGGGGCTTTTAAAATAAATATCTTCCCCCCCCACCGGACGCTTTTTTTTTTTAATTCTGTCTGCTTTTTATAATTATTTTTCTTTTTTGAAAAACACTTCTTTTTCCACCGGCGTTTTTCCCCCATCCTCGGCGGCAACCTTTAAATATATATATATATATATTAATAAATATATATATATAAATATATATATATCATCACAGAGCACCGCTTTTTCTATTTTTTTTTTAAATTTGTTTTTTTTTAAATATCTATTTTCCACCGCGCTTTTCCCCTCCTTGGCGGGAACTTTTAAAAATATATATATATATTATATACAGAATAATATATATATATATATATTATATATAAAGAAGCACCGCTCGCCGTTTTTTTAATATTCTTATTCTAAATTTTATTGTTGCCTTTATTTTTATTCTTATTATTCTTATTATTAATATAAACTCACCTATTTCAAAACCTCGCCGTTTAATTTTCCCCCCATCCCCTCCGCTATAATTTTATTTTCCCTACCCAAAATTTTTCAAACAACACGTTTCTTTTAGACCCTAAAAAAAACCCCAAAACCCCAGAACCCAAAAACCCCAAAAACCCAAAAACCCCAAAACCCAAAAACCCCAACCCCCCCATAAAAAACCCCCAAAACCCCAAAAATACCTTGAAAAACCCCTAAAAACCCCTAAAAAAATCTAAAAAAATCCCTAAAAAAAAAAAACCCGAAAAAGCCCAAAAAATCCCCAAAAAATAAAAAAAGAATCCCCAAAAAATACAAAAAATCCTAAAAAAATCCCTAAAAAAAAAAAACCGAAAAAGCCCAAAAAATCCCCAAAAAATCAAAAAAGAATCCCCAAAAATACAAAAAATCCTAAAAAATTAAAAAAAATCCTAAAAATATAAAAAAAAATCCTAAAAAAATCCCTAAAAAATCCTAAAAAAATCCCTAAAAAATAAAAAAAAATCCTAAAAAAATCCCAAAAAAATCCTTTAAAAATCCCTAAAAAATCCTAAAAAAATCCTAAAAAAATCCCCAAAAAATCCTAAAAAAATCCCCAAAAAATCCTAAAAAAATCCCCAAAAAATCCTAAAAAAATCCCAAAAAAATCCTAAAAAAATCCCAAAAAATCCCCAAAAAAACCCCCAAAAAAATAATATAAACCCGCGCACCTAGCTCCATTTCAAATTTGGGATTTGCATGCGAGGGTCATGAGCTCCTACTTCGTGAACCCGCTCTTCTCCAAGTACAAAGGCGGCGATTCCCTGGAGCCGACCTACTACGACTGCCGCTTCCCGCAGGGCGTGGGGCGCAGCCCGGCCGTGCTGTACCCGGGCGCGGCCGCTCCGTCCTTCCAGCACCCCTCGCACCACGTGCAGGAGTTCTTCCACCACGGCTCCGGGGGCATCTCGGGCTCGGGCTACCAGCAGAGCCCCCCGTGTGCCCTGGCGTGCCACGGGGACGCCTCCAAGTTCTACGGCTACGAGGCGCTGCCGCGGCAGGCGCTGTACGGGGGGCAGCAGGAGCAGCCCGCGGGGCCCTACGCGGATTGCAAATCCTCCGGGGCCGCGCCCGCGGAGCCGCAGCCCGGCCACCTCACACAGAGCTCCTCGCCCAGCCTCATGTTCCCCTGGATGAGGCCGCACGGTGAGCGCGGGGAGGGGAGGGGGGCGCCCAGGGGTTTGTTTTGTTGGGTTTTGTTGTATTGTGGTTTATTTTATTTTTATTTTATTTTATTGGGGTTTATTTTATTTTATTTTATTTTATTTTATTTTATTTTATTGTATTTTTATTTTATTTTATTTTATTTTATTTTATTTTATTTGGTCTTATTTTATTTTATTTTTATTTTATTTTATTGTATTTTTATTTTATTTTATTTTGTTTAATTGGGTTTTATTGTATTTTATTGTATTATATTTTTATTTTATTGTATTGTATTTTTATTTTATTTTGTGTTATTGGGTTTTATTTTATTTTATTTTTATTTTTATTGTATTGTATTGTATTTTATTTTATTTTGTTTAATTGGGTTTTATTGTCTTTTATTTTATTATATTTTTGTTTTATTTTATTGTATTTTTATTTTATTATATTTCTATTTTATTTTATTGCATTTTATTGTATTTATTTTATTATTATTTTATTATATTTTATTTTACTATATTTTATTATATTTCTATTTTATTTTATTTTATTTCATTGTATTTTATTTTATTTTATCTTATTTTATTATACTGTATTTTATTTTATTTTATTTTATCTTTTTTTATTGTATATTTTATTGTATTTTATTTCATTTTGGCTTGGCTTGCTTTGGTCTGGCCTTGTTTTGGTTTAATTTGCTTTATTTTATTGTATTGTATTGTATTGTATTGTATTGTATTGTATTTTATTTTATTTCATTTTATTTTATTATATTTTATTTTGGTTTGGTCTGGTTTGGGCTTGGTTTGGTTTCATTTGGTTGATTTTATTTTATTTTATATTTTATTTTATTGTATTGCATTTATTGCATTTTATTTCATTTCATTTTTGTTTTGCTGTGCTTTATTTTATGTTTGGTTTATTTTGCTCTATTTTACTTTGGTGTCTTTAATTTTTATTTTACCGCATTTTATCTTATTTCATCTCATTTAATTTCACCTCATTTCATTTCATATCTCATCTCATCTCATCTCTATTTAACTTTTATTATTTTTATATCTTTTTATTGGCCGGGGGGGTTTTTTTGTGGCCACCCCCGGGTTCTGGGGGGCTTTGGGGGATTTTTGGGTGAGTTTGGGGTTTTTATCCTGAGTTTGGGGCTCGGTTTTGGTGCTTTGGGCTCGGTTTTGAGGGTTATTCTGGTGGTTTTGGGGTTTTTTTTGGTGGTTTTGGGGTGGGCTGGGGATTCTCTTCTTGTGGTGTTTGGGTTTGGGGATTTTATTGCGGGTTTTGGGGTTTTTATGGTGAGTTTGGGGTTTTTATTGCTGGCTTTGGTGGTTTTGGGGGTTTTTATGGTGAGTTTGGGGTGGATTTGGGGTTTCTCTTGGTGAGTTTGGGGTTTTTATTGGTGGTTTTGGGGTGGTTTTTGGGGTTTTTATTGGTGGTTTTGGTGGTTTTGGTGTTTTTATTGGTGGTTTTGGTGGTTTTGGGGTTGTTCTTGGTGATTTGGGGTGGTTTTGGTGGTCAAGGGTTGAATTCGAGTTTTTTTTGGGTGGTGTTTGGGTGTCTTTGGGTTGGGTTGGGTTTTTTGGGGTTGTTTTGCTGGTTCTGGGTTGGTTCTGGTGGTTCTGAGTTGGTTTTGGGGGGTTTTGGGTGTTGTTTCAGTGGTTTTGGGTTGGCTTTGGTGGCTTTGGGGTGGTTTTGGTGGCTTTGGGGTGATTTTCGGTGCTTTTGGGGTGGTTTTTGTGGTTTTGGGTTGGTTTTGGTTCTTTTGGGGTGATTTTTGGTGCTTTCGGGGTGGTTTTGACTCTTTGGGGTGATTTTCGGTGGCTTTGGGTTGGCTTTGGGTCCTTTGGGCTCTGCGAGAAGCGACGGAAGGAGGAGAGAGATGAGAAATTGGGGAGAAAAAAAGGGAAAAAAGGCAAAAATGAGAAGGAGCAAAAAGAGGGAAAAATGAGAGGGAAAAGGAGAAGAAAAGGAAGGTGGGGTTGATTTGGGGTTGGTTTTGGTGGGTTTTGGGTTGGTTTTGGTGTCCTTTGGGCTCTTTCTGCTGCTCTTGGGGTCACTTTGGGGTTGTTCGAGTCCTTTTGGGGTTCTTTGGGTTGGTTTGGGGGGATTTTGGGGGATTTTAGGGGATTTTGGGGGCTGTGTGTGTGTCTGGGACTGTGTGGAGATGTTGGAACACCCCGTGCTGAGCAGAATTCCCACCTTTTAGCCCGAAATTCCCATCTTTGAGCCCAAAATTCCGGCCTTTGAGCCCAAAATTCCAAGCTCTTAGCCCAAAATTCAGACCTGTCCCAAAATTCCGGCCTTTTAGCTCAAAATTCAGACCTTTCATCCCCAAATTCAGACCTTTTATCCTCAATTTCAGCCCTTCAATCCCCAAATTCAAACCTTTCATCCCCAAATTCAAACCTTTCATCCCCCAGATTCTTCTACCTCAAAATTCCGGCCTCTAACCCCAAAGTTCTGACCTTTTACCCCAAAATTCCGAGCCTTTATCCCAAAATTCCGGCCTCTCCCCAAAATCCCGACCAAAATCCCACCCCCAGCTCCCCATAAATAAACCCGATTTATATTCATGGAAAAAAAAACCCCAACAATAACAATCATTCCTTCCCTCAAATAATTCCCTTTTTTCCATCCCTCCCCCCCGATAAAAAAACCCCAAACCGAGGGAGATTCCCCGCAAAAAACACAAAATTTTAAACCCTTAAATTCAATTTTTTTCAAGAAAAAACCCCCGGAAACGGCGCTAAAATTAAAACTCGGCGCCTTTTTTAAATTTTTTTCCCGTTTTTAGGTTTTTTTGGGGTTTTTTTTACGGCTTGCCTGGAGGATTGGCAGTAAGATACGGCTCCCACGAGGTTGTTTGCATCTTGATAAGAGCAGCGCTCTTTAAAATGTCACAAATGCCCTTTTTTTACCCCCAGCCGGGGAGCTGGGACCTCACCCGGAGGATTCCCTCATTTTTATTCACATTTTAATTGATTTTAGCTTCGATTTTATTGAAATTTTGATTTTTATTTTTTTTTTTTTGCGGTTATTATCGCTGTTAATTAATGTTTTTTCGCGCCTCCGGGGGATAAAATAATTAAAATTCAGCCTGGGGCGGCGCGGATGGGGTTAAAAATAAACACCCCCCGCACCCCTAAAAATAATAAAATTTAACAATAAAAAGGAGTGGGAAATTCAAAATAATCCCGGAGCTTTCAGCCGGGAAAATGAGGGAAATAATTCAAATTTCAGGCTGGGCAGGCTGCGGGTAATTCGAACCATGTGAGGGTTTATTTTTGGGGGGAATTTGGGGGTTTTTGGGGCCGGATCGGAGCCCCCCGGGGGGGATTTAATTCCTCCCCCAGCTCCACCCCGACCCCCGGCAAAACCTGGAAAATTCCCGAGTCCAAAATAACCAAAAAAAAACCCAAAAAAGGGGAAAAAAGCGAGGAATTGCGGCTGCCGGCGGGAGGAAAAATCGGTTTTTTTTTTCATTTATCCCAGCTTTGACCTGGAGGGAGCGGGAGCGGCTCCAGCCGGATTTGCCCTTTTTTTACCCCAAAATAAATTGATTTTCTCATTAGCGCCGGAGGAAACGCGGGGGCTGCAGCCTCAGATCTTGAGTTTGTTTTATTGTTATTATTTTTTAAATTTTTCTCCTCGTTTATTTCGATTTTTTCCTCATTTTCCCCCCGATTTTCGGTCTTTTTTTCCTAAGGAAAAACCCTCGGGATTTTTGAGGAGGAAAATCGCGATTTTCGAGGAATTTGGGCAAAAAGGAGCAGGCCCCCCCTCCCTTCCCTCCCCCTTTTCCTGTTTTGGGGTGAAAGTTTGGAAAAGGATTTGGGGAGTTTTGGGGGGGGAGAGGAAAAGGGGAGGGAAAAATGGGGAAAAATGGGGAAAAAGGGGGGAAAATTGGGAAAAAAGGGGGAAAAAGGGGGAAAATTGGGAAAAAAGGGGGGAAAATGGGGGAAAATGGGGAAAAAGGGAAAAAAGGGAAAGAAAAGAGGGGAAAAAAGGAAAGAAAAGGGAAAAATGGGAATGAAAATGAGGGGATAAAGGGGGGGAAAGAGGGAGAATGGGGGGAAAAGGGAATAAAAAGGGGAAAGGGGGAAAAAAGAGCGAAAAATTGAAAGAAAGAGGGAGAAGGAGAAGGAGAGAAAGAGGAAAAAATGAGGGGGAAAAGAGAAAAAAAAGGAGAAAAAATGCGAAAGAGAGAAATAAAGGAAAGAAAATGAAGGAAAATGGAAAAAAAGGGGGGAAAAAATGAAATAAAATCAAAATAAAGATGGACTGGAGGGGCTGCCGGGGGTTTCCTGCAGAACAATGCGCTTTTCCAGGGAAAAAGGGAATTTTTGGGATCCAGCGGAGCCGCCCCGGGGGGATTCTCCCCCTGCCCACCCTGGGGAAGGGGCTTTGTGCGTGAGCTTGACACGAGCCGGGGCCGGGAATCGAACCCGCGGCTGCCGGGGCAGGAAAAGGGCAAAAAACGGGGGGAATGGGGCAAAAAAAAGGGTAAAAAATGGGGGAAAAAAGGTAAAAAATGGGCAAAAAATGGGGAAAAAATGGGCAAAAAACGGACAAAAAATGGGAAAAAAATGGGGAAAAAAGGAAAAAAAAAAAAGGGGGGGAAAAGGGGGTGAGAAAGGGGTGAGAAAAGGGGAAAAAATGAGAGTGAGGAATGGGTAAGGAAGGGGGAAAAAGGGGGTGAAAATGGGTGAGAAAAGGGTAAAAAATGGGAGAGGAAAGGGGTGAAAAGGGTAAATGGGGGGGGAAAGGGTGAAAATGGGTGAGAAAAGGGTGAAAAAGGTAAAAAAGGGGAGAGGAAAGGGGTGAAAAGGGTAAAAAGGGGGGAAAAAGGGGGAGAAAAGGGGCGAGAAAGGGGTAAAAAATGGGTTAAAAATGGGTGAAAAGGGTAAAAATGGTAAAAAAGGGCGAGAAAGGGACCAAGAGGGGGCCAAAAGTGGCGAATTCCAGGTGGGAAAAGGGCGAAAAAAGCGAATTTTCGGGATTTGAGTCCAGCAAAGGCACCCGGGAGGGGAAGGCGGGGGCAGAGCGGGACAGGAGGGAACTTTGGTCGGGATTTTTTGGGTTATTTTGGGGTTTTTTGGGTTATTTTGGGTTATTTTTAGGGGTTTTGGGGGTTGTTTGTTGCTTTTGGGATTTTTTTTGGGGTTTTACGGGGGTTTATTTGGGGTTTTTTGTGGGGATTTTGGGGTTGCTTGGGGTGTTTTGGGTTGTTTTTTGTGATTTTTTGGGGGGTTTTGGGTCTTTTTCTTTCTCTTTCCAGCGGGGTTTTGGGGTTTGGGGTTTTGTTTGTCGGGTTTTGGGTTTTTTTGGGTTTTCTCTTTGGTTTTTTGGCCTCGTTTCTTTGGGTTTTTAAATTGGTTTTAATGGGGGGAGTTTTTGCCTCGCTATTTGGGGTTTTTTTAACCTCATTTTTTATGCTTTTGCCTCATTTTCCACCTTTTTACCTCTTTTTTTTTACCCTTTTACCCCATTTCTTTCCCTTTTCGCCTCCTTCCTCACCCTCTCAACCTCCTTTTTTACCCTTTTTACCTTATTTTGTACCGTTTTTACCTCCGTTCTCACCTTTTTACCTCCTTTTTTACCCTTTCATCCTCTTTTTTACCCTTTTTACCCCCCTTTTTTCACCATTTCCCCACATCCTTCCACGCAAAATATTCCTTTAATTCTTTCAAATTTAATTTTTAAAATTTTAATTTTTTTCAAATTTAACTTTTTAAAATTTAAAATTAATATTTTTTTTCCAGTTTCCCTCCCGCCACCCCCGGGCAGAGGCAGCGGCCTCCAGACCTACAAACCTTTTTACCTCCTTTTTACCCTTTTTACCTCCTTTTTACCCTTTTTACCTCCTTTTTACCCTTTTACCTCCCTTCTCACCCTTTTAACTTCTTTTTTTACCATTTTTACCTCTTTTTTTACCCTTTTTACCCTTTTTACCCTTTTTACCTCCTTTTCCACCCTCTCTTTCACCATTTCCCCATTTCCCAGCACCCTTATCACGCCAATTTTTTCCATTTAATATTTTAAAAATTGAATTATTTCGAAATCAAATTTTTTAAAAAAAATTTAATTAAAAAAAAAAAAAAAATAAAAAATAATTTTTTTTACCAAAAAATTCTAATTTTTTTCCCGATTCTCCCCCATTTTTCCCCCGCAGCCCCGGGCCGGCACAGCGGCCGCCAGACCTACAGACCTTTTTACCTCCTTCTTACCTCCCTTCTTACCCTTTCCACCTCCTCTTTTTACCATTTTTACCTCCTTTTTTACCATTTTTACCTCCTTTTTTACCCTTTTAACCTCCTTTTCCACCCTTTCCTTCGTCCATTTCCCCATTTCCCGACACCCTTTCACACCAAATTTTTCATTTAATGTTTCAAAATTAATTTTTTTTTAGAAAAAAAAATTAAAAAAAAATTTTAAAAAAATTTAAAAAAAAATTTTAAAAAAAATCTAATTTTTTTCCCGATTCTCCCCCATTTTTCCCCCGCAGCCCCGGGCCGGCGCAGCGGCCGCCAGACCTACAGCCGCTACCAGACGCTGGAGCTGGAGAAGGAATTCCTGTTCAACCCGTACCTGACGCGCAAGCGGCGCATCGAGGTCTCGCACGCGCTGGGGCTGAGCGAGCGCCAGGTGAAAATCTGGTTCCAAAACCGGCGCATGAAGTGGAAAAAGGAGAACAACAAGGACAAACTGCCCGGAGCCGGGCGCGACGAGGAGAAAAACGAGGAGGAAGGCAACGAGGAAGAGGAGAAGGAGGAGGAGGAGAAGGAGGAGAGCAAGGACTGAGCCGCCCGCGGGGTTTTTATTCCGGTTTTTATGGCGGATGATAAATCGCGGCCTTTACTGCGGTCATTTCGTTTTATGGAGTGGAGCTACCTGGCAGCTTCTTGCTTTTTATTGCCGGGGAATCTTCCCCTTCTGCCTGCGCTTCTTGGATTTTTCAGTTTTTTTAGGGTTTTTTTTTTTTCCCCCCCTCTTTTCCGCCGTTTATTCCGGATTTTTTTTTTTAATCCTTTCCCCTTCCCCTTTTTAAAATAATTTTCCCCCCCCGTTTTTAAATTTTTTTTTTTCCATTTTAAAAATATTTTTCCCTGTTTTAAATCCCTTTTTCCCTCCCCTTTAAATCCCTTTTCCCCCCTTTAAATCCCTTTTCCCCCCTTTAAATCCCTTCCCTCCCCTTTTAATCCCTTTCCCTCCTTTTTAATCCTTCCCCCCTTTTAAACAACTTTTCCCCTTTTCAAATCCTTTCCCCTCCTTTTTTTTATTCTTTCCCCTCCTTTTTTATAATTTTCCCCCCTTTTTTATAATTTTCCCCCATTTTTTATAATTTTCCCCCTTTTTTATCATTTTCCCCCTTTTTATTCTTCATTTTTTCCCCCTTTTCCCCTCCTTTTTTCTCCTTTCCCCCCCTTTTTTTATAATTCCCACCTTTCCCACCCCTTTAAATCCCTTTTATCCCTTCTTTTTTTATTCCTTCCACCCTTTTTTTAATCATTTCCCCCCTATTTAAATCACTTTTCCCCCTTTTTTTAATCCTTTTCCCCCCCTTTTTTAAATCAGTTTTCCCCCTCCTTTTTTGGTTTCATAACTGGGGAAAAAAATGGGATTAAAACCGAGATTATTCGGCAAAACTGAGCCCTTAATCCGGGCTGGGGCTGATCCCAAATCTGAATTTGGGATCCGTTTTTTTTTGGGATTTATGGGCAGGGAAAATTCCCTAATTTCCGCTTTCCCCCCCATTTTTTTATTTCCATAAATGGGGGGGCGGAAAAAAATTGGGATTAAAACTGAAATTCTGCCCCGAAGGAAAATCATCCCAGGCCTCAACCCAGGGAAATGGAATTTTCCATCCTAAAAATCTGGATTTGGGAGATTTTCTTGGCGCAGAAATTTCCCTTTTCCCCCTTTTTTTCCCTCCCCACCCTCTTATTTATTATTTTATTCCATAAAGGCCCCCCCAAAAAAGGGGGGGGGGTGGAAAATGAGGATTAAAAATGAAATGATGAAGAATAAAAAAATCGGGAAAAAAATGGATTTATCCCAATCCCTCCTGTGGGCTGGGAGGGAAATCCCAGCGTTCCCTCCCAAAATTCCGATTTATTTCACCAGCTTTGGCTTTTCCCGGGGCGTTTTTGGGGGAAATTCCTCGGTTTTGAGGTTTTTTTTCCCCCCCACCCCTCTCCCGAACGCCCCCAGGGGGATTTTTCCCGGTTTTTCCCTGGAATTCTCCCTTTTCCCTGCGGGGTTGCCCTCACCTGGATCCAGCTCCTTTTTCCAGGAATTCTTTGGGAATCCCTGCCCAGGCCAAGAGCCGCGTGTCCCACCCTTTGTTTTCCAGCGTTTTTTCCCACATTTCCCATGATTTTTCCATGTTTTCCCGAATTTCCCCATATATTCCCATATATTCCCGTATTTTCCCCGTGTTTTCCCCACGTTTTTTTCCCGTTTTTCCCGTTTTTCCGCCTTTTTTCCGTCCGCGAGCACTCCAAGTTCTTCCTGTACTACCTAAAAAAGGGAAAACCTGCAATAATTTAATTATCAACCCTAATTAAGCAACCGGGGCCTTCCAGATCCGGGATTTCGCTCCCGAAATTTTATTTAAAAGCGAGAATTCGGGAGAGCGACGAGCCCCGATGCAGGCTACTAAGTAGCCAAAAATTTAATATTAATAATAATTAATTAATTAATAATAATAATTAATAATTAAAAAAAAGCAAAACTTGTATTGTACTTATCACTACCTATAGAAGGAGTCATGCTTTGGAAGTATTTGTAATGCGGTTTTATTGTCGTTTGTTGCTGCTTATTTTCTTGGGAATAATTAATTGAGGATGATGATGATGATGATGAAAAAACGATAAAAAAAATTAAAATAATTTAAAAAATAATAAAAAAAAAATAAAAAATCCCAACAACTGAAACTGCCTAGTTGAGAACGCACATTTGTATTATTTTATTGTGCTTATAAAGTAGCGTAGAAATCAATTGCACTGAATGTAGAGTTATTATCTATTTGTCTTGACTTTTATCTGTTCATGCTCGGAGGAAATAAAAATGAAATAAAATAAAATAAAACTGAAAAAAAAAGAAGAAAAAACCACGAAAAAAAACCAAGAAAAAAAAAAATATAATTCCGTCGTTTGTTTTATGTACAGAATAATGATGATGATGATGATGATGGAAATAAAAAAATGACAAAAAAATAAAAAATAATGAAGCGACCTCATCGTCCTGCGTGTTCCGCCTGGGGAAAAAGAGATTCAAAAAAACAATAATCAGTAAAAAAAGAGGAAAAATCTTTAAAAAAAACCTCAACTTTTTGTGTTGTGTCCGTGCCGAGTGCGGGAATTCTCCCGATTCCCAAATAAAAAGGTTGAAAACGAGCGCCTTGTGCGGTTCTGTCTCTGTTCCGCCACCTAAAAAAACCCACAAAACTGCGCCTTTTTTGGGGCAAAAACGCCCAAATTCGGGTCCTGCCCGGAGGATTCCCCCGGCCAGAGGAGCAGCGAAAGGAAAAATAAAATCCTCGGGAAATTCTCTGTTCGTTGTCGGGAAAAATCCCAATAAAATCCAAATATTGAAAGATTTTGGTGTTTCGGAGCTTTTTTTGTCGCCTCTGGGAGGGCTGGAAAAGGGGAAAATCGGGAATTTATATTTTTGGAGTATAAAAAGCCGGGATGGGGCAGGAAGCGCCTGGAATTTTGGGTGGAATCGCGGCGATTTTGGAGGTTCCGATCCCGGGGGGAAAACGCTTCCCAAAAAAAAAAAAAAAACCCCAAAAAAAGGGAATGTGGCGTTTCCATGGATTTATTGAATTATTAATTTATTCATTTCTTCCTTCCTTGGTTCTTTTCTTTCCCCCCCCGTGGGAAAAAAATCCCTTTTTTTAAAAATTCTTCCCCTTTGCACTTTATTAATAGAAGAATTATTATTAATAATAATATTTTTATTACTATTAACCCCGCTTTTCCCCGCCTTTGTGTGTTTTTTTCCCGTTCCCTCCTCCTTTTTCCCATTTTTAACAACATTTTTATTTTATTCCCCTCAAAAATCCTCGCGGGGTTCTCCCCTCCTTTCCCAAGAGGAGGAAAATTCCCAAATATTCCCCAATTTTCCCCCGAATTCAGCTCATTTTTCCCCATTTTTTTTTTTCCACCCTCGCTCCCGGTTTTTATTTTTTAAATGATGAATGGAGCGAATTCCCGGATCCAAATCATTCCAGGGATGGGAAGGTTTGGAATTGCTGGATGCCGGCTCAGGGAAAGGGAAAAATGGGGGGGAAAGGGGAAAAAACGGGGAAAAAAGGGAAAATAAAGGGAAAATTGGAGGTTCCGCAGAGCAGAAAATCGGGAATCGCCTGAGGACGGGAATTTTGGGGCATTTCCAGCCGGATTTTGGCTCTGGAATGGGATTGGGAAGAGGAAAAACCCCCCCAAAAAATGGGAATTGAGAGGGACGGGATCCCTCCCGCCCGGGAATTGCCCCAAATTCCCAAATCCCAAATTTTCACCCCATAAAAAAGCCTGGAAATGAGGATTATTCTGCTTTTTGGGGAAGGTGAGGGCGGAATCAGCCGCAAACCCGCGGTTTGTGCCGAAAAAAGCGGATTTTTGGGGGAAATTTATCCCGTTTTTCCACCCAGGAGTTTTTTCCCGTCGCTTTTTCGCGGGAGCGAGGCGAAAAAACCCCGGAAAAGCGGCCAAAAAATCGGGGGAAAATCAAGATTTTCCTCTTTATCACCTCGAAAATAATTCAGAATTATCTGTGCAAGGCTCGGGGAGGGGAGAGACGGAGAACTCATCAAAGCGCTTAAAAAATAATAACAATAAAAAGGGAAAAAAGCGGATTTTGCGTCCCATTTGTCACCTTTAAAGCCCCAAACCCGCCGTGACATTTATCCGGGAGCGAAATGATGGAATTACCGCCCGCTCTTTATTTTTAGGGGGGGTGAAAATGTTGATTTTTCGCCTCGTTTCGAGGCGATTCCGCTTCGGCAGAAAAGGGAGGAGAAAAAAAAAACAGCAAAAAAAAATTAAAAAATGAGTTTTTTTGGCTTTTTGTGGTTTTTTTTTTTTTTTTCAAGTTTTTTATGGGGGGATTTAATTCGAGGGAAATTCGCCGCTCGCAATTTCTTTATCCCGGAACGATCCTGGCGCCGGAATTACGGGAATTAAACCCATCCCCGCCGCCTGGAATAAGAAATATCGGCTCATTCCCAGCTTTTTATGGAGCAATCCCATTTCCCTGCTTCTCCCCCCTTTTTTCCTGGAGTTGGGAGAAATTTCCATCCCCGCTTTAATTTACGATCCAATCGCGGTTTAATGCGGCCGTTAGAGGGGAAAAATCCGTTTATTTTTTATTCTGCCCCCGAATATCGGCGAGACAACGAATTTCTGGGGCGTTAAATTCCCTTTTTTATAACGAGATCTTAATTTTATTTCGGGTTTTTTTTTTCTCTCTAATCGAGGCGGGGAAGGGAGGGGCGGCTGCGGGGTTGAAAATGAGAAATGAAAATAAAGGGAAAAGCGCTTTTTTTATTCGCTTCAGCGCCGGGTTTTGAGCTCGCCCTTCAAATTCTCGGCTTTTTAATAAAAATAAATATATTTCTTCAATTTCCCCGCTGTTTAAAACCCCATCATTAATTCCTGCAAGGCGATTTTGGAGGGCAATAAAATAAAAATTCGCTCCCGGGTTACTTTTAGCGCTTAAAATTTCCTTTTTTTGGGAGTTTTTTTTTTGAGGTTTTTTGGGTTTTTTTCCCCCATTTTGGAATTTATTATGGTGGAAAAACGGGATCTCCTTTGTGCTCGGGAACTGTTGAGGTCGGAGCTTCCCCCCTCGTAACTTTTAATTACCTGTTATAAAATTTATTGGTGGTTTGTAAAGCGAATAAAAGGAATTTCCCGTCCATCCGGTGGCGTTAAAACCTTTGTGTCCTTCGGGCTGCCCAGACACGCGGGGGGAAAAGAAA